CAGACAATTTTCCAAACCTGATTCCGTCATCTACTGCTTAGTTTCCAACTATTCTGGACTAAGTCAAGTGGTGTATATTGTTTATTGTCTCTGCCTTTAACCTTATTAACGCATAACACAACAAATGTCATGTCGCCTAGATACAATGATCTATTTTATTCTGTTATTTAAAATATTAGAGTAAACTGACCTATTTTCGTATAATATTTTAAAAATAAGAATATTAACGGAAGTGATTTTTTTTGAAATTTGAAATTTCAAACAAATGTTTAGTAGGTATTTTAAAGTACAAAATATATATTATTATCCAAAATATATGGTACGATTAAAATGCGATACACGGCGTACTGCATAGGCAAAATAGGTACATACTGTAATGATATTAACTGGTAGTATTGTTATTGATAGCACAATAATAAAATTGCTGGATGATTTTGTGCATTTTTTTATTACTGTACGTAAAGAATAATGCATTTCATTTTAATAATTTGTATAAGAGTAAATTGGACCTATAATTAAAACTAAAGAAGATGAGAATATTATTAAGGACACCTTGTAGATTTTTTTTTTAAACAAGTTATGTTATTTTTAAATTTTTGATGTCAGTTGTTAGTGTAAATTATTAAGATCAGATTTTAAATAAATAAAATTCATTTTATCCAGTATGAACTGTTGTATATGTATCATTAAAAAAAAAATAAATAGATATTCCCAAGAGTTATGATAATAATTCGATAATATTCCTTGCTTTCTGGAATGTTTCTTGAAGAATATTCTTAGTAGCACATCTCTAGTTTCAACTATAAAATAAAATAGTAGTAAATCAAAATATTCAAAACGAAACCTAAAATATTTTTTTTAGAAAAGGGAGGAAGTGGTTGATAAAAGTTGTGCTAAAATCAAATGTATTTCATTAAAAAGCCAATAAAAAGTTTTAAAAATATTTTATTTCATCTGTTGACGTTGTAAATACTTTAGGTATCAGCATACTGTACAAAAAGTCGACAAAGAGTTCGCCAAGTCTGTTTTCATTTTTGGCACCCTTCAGTTCTTTCGTCTGGCTTTGGGTAATAACGGCCTACTGTGGCGTGTCTTTTCTTCTATTTATCATGGCCAGAATCAGTCCGTATGAATGGACAAATCCTTACCCGTGTATTGAAGAGCCCGAATACTTGGAAAACCAGTTTAGTCTGTCAAATGCGTTTTGGTTTACGATCGGATCGCTGATGCAGCAAGGTTCTGATATTGCTCCGATGTAAGTACGATAAGACTTTTACACATGATAATGACTTAAAATTGTATCTATAGGAAGACCAATAAAATTAAACGGAATTGCACAGCGCTTAGGTATCATACAAAATATCAATATTTTTCTTTTAATTCAAAAATCTATATTACCTAATGATAGGATATTTAAAAATTAACTTTGATCATAATTTATCATAAAGAATTGATAATTTTATTTTTTCTACTCCATAGTGCTGTTTCCACTAGATTGGTCGCAGGCATTTGGTGGTTTTTCACGCTCATCATGGTTTCATCTTACACTGCAAATTTGGCTGCGTTTTTGACTGTCGAGAGTGTGTCAGAACCTTTCAAGGACGTAGAGGATTTAGTGAACAATCAAAACACGATCACATTCGGTCTAAAGAAGAGAGGGTCTACTGAGGAATATTTCAAGGTATAATTTATTAAAATATTAAAGAATACAATATTCCTATAAATAGTAGTACCGTTGACATTTTATTAAGCTAAAATATCTTGTTTGTCATACATTTTACGATTATATAATAAATTACTTTTACTAAAATTATTAAATTTAGTTATTTCTTTTGTAACATATTTTTATGTATGACATTCTTACATTATTGAGGTCTGTAGTAGATACTTGGATTCTATACTCGTAAAAATTCATGCATACATGTACATACAACTAATATTATATGCTTATAATTTATCACACAATTTATTTCACGGCATTATAAAATACATAATACTTTATAGTAGGTACTAATATAATACACAATTTGAGTACTGTGAAACTATACACCATTAAATTTAAAATTATATTTTAACAGGAATCAACAAACCCTACTTATAAAAAATTATTTGACATGGTACAAAAAAACCCATCTTGGTTTACTTCAAATAATGACGAAGGCGTAGATAAAGTACTCAAGGAAAATTATGCATTTTTTATGGAGTCTACATCAATCGAGTGAGTTTTACAAGAATAGTAATGTACCTACTATTAAAATAAATAATATTAATTTAACTTTTTAAAACGCATGATTATTGTCAATCGTACTGTAATAAGTACTACATTACGATCCCTCTCAACTGTGTATTTAACTTCATGTAATAAGTCAATTTTAAGTATGTCACAACGGTTCTTAACTTTAAAAGACACACGGGATTCTTTAAAAATATATTTTCTCTCTTCGAAATTTTTAAGCAAAAAATTATAATTTATTTATATATTATCCAATAATTTACTTACATATATACTATTATGTATTTATATTTAAAAGAACGTCACATCTTGTATGCGTATCGTTTTCGTCTTACAAATGTGAAATAGGCATCGTAACAAAATTTGTATCTGCAGTTAAAATACTATGTTGTTATAGCTATACATTTTAATTTAAGAATAAATTGAATTACTATATGATTTGGTAGTAAAGACATTATTTGTTATTTAGCGTTGATTTAAACGATATTTATATTTTTAAGTGATTATGATCAGTTTTATATTATTGATATTGTACATAATGTAATGTATATACACATAACTCTACTAAATACTTAAAATATTGTGACAAATCTTTAACATAATAAGTCTATTTACCGTATAAAATTAAAACTAATAACATTATTTTGGAACTACTTAATAAAAATTTTCCATTGTTTACCAATGTTTGTAAAAGAAAACAATACTGCAAAGTATGGATGTCTTTCTATTGAGTCCTCTAAATATAATATAATTTATATACTATACATTTTACGTAGATATTTATTTCAATGACTTAATTTTTCTTATATTGCAGTAAAATTTGTAAAATAGTTTCTTTTCTTTTTTTTTTTTACTAAAAATTTAAACAAAAATATCTACAATAATGCAAATCTATACATTAATAAAAAACGCAACTATACGCTACATGAGAAAAAATTTTATTATATTCCATTAAAGCGATCGTGACAGATGTTAATAGCCACGTACCTGTGTGTGTCAGAAATACGATAGTGTCGTGAACCCCTGACATTATAGCGTTTTACCCCTTCTGGGTTCCCTACGGGGCCCGCGGAACACAAATTGAGAATAGCTGAGTGTACGATATTTCTATGATGTTTTATATACTTGAATATTATTGTAGGTATATGGTCGAACGAAACTGTAAATTGGCCCAAATTGGCGGACTATTGGACAATAAAGGCTACGGGATTGTGATGAAAAAAAGTATTCTATTTAATATTGTGTGCGGTCGAAATAAATAATTTATAATATTTATTATGTTGTCAATATATTAACCCGATTCGTATATTTTATGATGTTGTGTTACATAGACGCGAGTTTTCGTAATGTTTTAAGCGCAAACATATTGAGCTTGCAGGAGAAGGGCAAGCTGACAGCGTTGAAGAACAAATGGTGGAAAGAGAAACGCGGGGGCGGAGCATGTCAGGTTAGTACGACAGAAGTGAAAAAAATTTTCACTATAAGCTATGTAATAAATTAATTATTCGTGTGTATACTAGCATAGAATCGTTGCTGGCCCGGAAACCTAAATTTACACAACGGGTCAGATAGTAATGCAGTTTTAGAGCCGGCTCGGTGAAAGAATATTTTCCTCTAAAAATAAAAATAATATGTTTTTAATCTTACAATATATGCTTATACAGAGAGGGGTGTAGGGAGTTCATTATATTATTTATGTATTTTTCTATACGACGATTAATTTATTCATCAATTATAATATTATGTAGGACACCGAAAATAACGAGGCCAGTGAGTTGAGTATGAAAAACGTGGGTGGCGTGTTCATTGTGCTATGTAGTGGCGTGGCCGTTGCCGCTATATTGGCGGCTCTGGAAATGTTTTGGACACTGTGGAAAACGACAAGCAAAGAAAAGGTTCGTCTACGTATTTTAATATAATTCCGCTGGTCAACATACCTACAAGATCTTAAGTTAAAAGGCCAACTTAAATCGAAAATGATATAACGACGAATTATTGTGCTTCTTAATTAGAAATTCAATTTTTCTATTATTTTAAACGTCATACTAAGTCTACGTAAGATAAATAGTGACAAAAATGCTTTAGGCTATATCAAAGTATGATAAGAGTAATAATTCAATGGCATCAAACTAAATAAAAAGAAAATTAAGAAGTACTTTAGATTAAGCACGTGATTATACGTTGTTAAATACCAATTTTTAAATGTTTCCTATTGTTGTGGGTGCATGCTGTGTTGGCCTTTTAAACACCGATATAATATAAACTTAACTGATCCCACGTCTGTCACCGCAGAAGTCGTTCAAGAGTGAGTTCAAAGACGAGCTTAAATTCATTGCTAAATGTCGCGGGTCCACGAAACCAGCTAGGAAGAATCAGAACAGCAGTGCGGAAAATTCGAACCCGACCGGATCTAATCAGTACATGAACTCAGATCGGCACTACGACTACGAATCGTGATGGCACGAAAACGATGGGACATCTATCGGGACACTATTCTCCTTTTACTTGTTAAACACACGACTACGTGTAGTTTTTTTTATTCGTAAACAATACGCAAACGATTATTATATTGTTTAAATATACATAGTATTCATCAGTATCTATTATTATTATCATATTATTATAATTATAAAATATATACATATTATATACCTATATATAGGCTCTTAAAATGTAATGAAGACAATATATTATTCGAGCGTATAAAAAATAATAATCAAAATAAAAATAATTATTAAATAATAATAATAATAATAATAAAAAAAAGTTATCACAGTCATTTTGTTTTATTATTTATTTTTTTTTTTTTTGTGTAAACGTAAAAAAAAACGATTGATTAAATTCCTATTTACAAAAGGTATTTACATTACCGCGAAACCCGCGTGCTAACGACTCTGCTCTCGAGACGACGGCGAATAGAGGTATTTTATAAACTTATATTTTACAATATTAGATTTTCGATTGCCATGCGCGGGACTAGTGCGATCCAACCGTCGCCGCCGCCGCAGCTGCCACCGGTCCTGTCCGGTCCACGTTGATGGGCGCGGCCCGTTCCATTAGACACTCAATGCTGGTGCTCTGCTCGTCGGACAGACTGGACGCGGACGATGATTCGCCGCAGACGGTCCGCGCTACAGAAACGACGTCGTCGTCGTCGTCGTCCCGGTGCATCTCGACCAGCACGGTCGTGTAGTCGGGCGGCGGAGAGGACGCGGCCGGGACGGACTGTTGTACGTCCGCCGGCGGTGACGTCGCCGAGAGGACTGTGGTCTGCTGGTGGTGTGAGGAAGATGAAGACGTCGCCGCCGCCGCCGATTGGACGGTTCGCGCGGCAGCCGTCGAGGACGAGGAAGACGACTCGCCGAGTATCGCCGACTGATGGTGGTTGCTGAGCACGTGCGCCAACCTGCGCACGCTCCGCCGGATGCTCTGCCGCAACATTTTCGCGATTCTATAAGAGCAAAACAGAAAACAAAACGCGAGCGCGCACAATTTATAACGGTCCGTTTCGTCGCGAGGGTGCGAAGATGCACAATCGTGATAGGCACTCGGAAGTCTGGCGGCTACGCGGCCAAGCGGTGCGCGATAGAGTCCGTGTCAAGAGCAAGAAGAAAACCACCGTGTACGAATCGCATGCATATTAATTAAAGACTTACGTGTCTAAGTATGATATTATGAAGAATGTTAATATTTTTCTCAATAGGCGTTATTATACGATTATTGTTTTAAAACATATTAGGTATATTACACGTTAAAATAATGTATTATTAAAATTAAACTTTTTTTTTTTTTTTTTTACATTTAATTTTGCTTTCAACAGTCTGAGATAAAGAGTAATGACTAGGTGGTATTATAGGTATAAAAACATGACAAAAAAAAAATTAAAAAAAAATATATATCATAATATTAACAGTGATTATCAAAAATAATATGTACAAGAATATAAATGACGTAAATACATAGTAATATATAGTCGTGTAAAGCAGAGCGTGCGATGATGATAGAAATACTACTACACTAAAACTACTGTTAGTCGTTCTCATAAACCGTTACTAATTCAGTGAATCGTAAAGACCTTGCTCCGGTGGCCGTGGAATACGACGGCGGTGGAGTGTACTTGGGCGGCGGGTCTTCGATCTGCACTGCCGCTGAGCCGTTTACGCCCGCTTCGGACGTCGTTTCACCGGTTTCTGGGGGCCTACGGGTCTCGATCACAGGCCGGTACAGCATCTGAATCCGCTGTTTCAAAACAAAGTAAATAAACGGTGTGATTCGATGTGATTTATATATCAATTGTATACAAGGGAAGGGGGGTTATGACGTATACTCTAGTTGGGTCGTGCAGACATCATGATATATTGATTTTAGGTGTTTATGTAAAATATATACATATTTTTTATTTATTGTAACATATTAAAAACCACAGTAGATTGATTAGAAGAAATATCATTTATTTTTCTTCCGGGGCAAATATTGACTATAATCTCGTGGATATGATTCAAAACGTAGAATGCGTTAAGTTAAAATAAAAGCGTATGATATGCTGGCGTTAATTAAATCGTCTAAACTCAAAATGGCAATTTTACTGTTTCCTAACATCGAACATGATCAATATAGTATCACAAATCTGTACATATAAACGAGACTGTGCTGAGTGACTGATTCATAATCAACGCTGAGCCGAACCTATTAGATCTATCGAATTGAAATTTTGAAGGTAGATTAATATTATAATTTAACCGTTCACTAAGAAAGGATTTTTAAAAATTTTGATTTAAAGTGGTTGAAATTGGAAAAAAACAAAATTGTACGTGTAAATTGTATATACATATCTACATACATCGATAAGTAAGCGCTTATAAACCGTGAGCCTCTAGCTCACATAGAAAATGTTATGTGACATTCTTCAGAGTCTTAGTAATTTTGGCACCAAATGTAAATACATCAAATTATGTAGTTTATAGAGAAGTTTTTTAATAAAATTGTTGTCATAAATTACTATTTTTTTGTTATATACCTATTAAAATTTTGGGGACAAAGCCGCGACATGTAATCCGCTAGGTAGGTATATAATATAAATCAATCGTAGTTGTTTTTTATCATTTTTGTTTAAAATGTGAATTCTATTATGTATTATTAGCATGACGTACAAATATATAGTATCAGTATGTTTATTGTTTATTAATATAATATACGAGTACATCCAATTATATAGATGACATACAATCGACTATTATCATATCCTCAGTCCTCTCCCATTTTAAAAATCTCAATTACACCATTGAATTATATACGATTGGACCGCGTTGTGATTATAATATTATTATAACAATATAACACAGTGTGTACTCACGTCGAACAAGTCCGGTGGTCCGGTAGCTAAGTACCGGCAAGTTTGTACGATTCCAGCAAAAGGGACGATCAGCAGCGGTATGATCTGCAGCAAACAGCCAAACTCGCGGCTGGACGTCGACCAATAAGTCGACTGAGAAATTCCCTTCCAGTTGTACAGCCATCGGTATCCACCGTTTTTGAACACGGACGTGCTGAGCAGCTGCAAACGCGAAAATATCGTCATTTTAATATTATATAATATGCCTAAGCACCGTTCAATAACAGCGTATTTTATAAAATAATATGATAATATGTTATATTAATATGTTCGACGACGCTTACGATCAGAGCCACTGGCACGACGATGTTCCAATCGAACGACAGCATCGGCGCCATCCACACCTGCAGGTGATGGTTGGCCTGCGAAAACAGCGTCGCCACTACCGTCTCACCGCTGTATGGACGACCGCGCACCATAAACAATGCACCAATTTCCAGCAAATACAGTATCATTATCCACCAACCGCACCCGACGCAGTAGTCCATTAGATACACGACGAAAATTCCCAGCTAAAAAAAAATCATAACGAGTTCAAATACTATCATAATATCTCATGGTCACGAAAAATTTCGAGTCAGATATATACACGCTGACGTGTGCGAGTGTATACGTGTCATGCGGACTATAATCATAATTTTCGCGGTTCTATTCGGTTATGTGATAACTTGATTCGATAATATTATTTCACTCACTTCAGTCGCCATAAATAGGCCGATCGAAAAAGCGGCCGCACACGACAGAAATGTGATCGTTGTACGCCATTTCCTCAGCTTGAACGGGTGCAAAGATATGATTCCGCTGACGACGCAATGCCATATCGCGATCTGTAACGATTTAACCGACAAAGAAAAAATTATATAACAAATAACGATCAATCTATACTTATAACATGTTATTCATATCCAAATATTTTATGTTTGTGTTTGAAAACGTACTTGCTGTCCGATGCCGAACATGATGAGTACGGAATAAAACAGGACGGACCAGAACGGCGAGATGTTCTTGGCGCCAATCATGGCGAACGTGGCCGGAAACAGTTCAGTCGCCAAACGCATGGCCTGGTATCCACTCTCCTGCGGCATTCCCGGCACGTTGTTCTTCATGGTCCTCTCGCCCATAAAAAGACTACTGTGCTGCATCCACCGCACGGGCGTCAGGTGTTTGCGGACCTGAGCAGAATTCTGTTTGAACAGAAACGTATAGGAACTCATCCGTTCTGAAAGCATACAACGGTAACGTTCAATTTCGTGAGATCGGCTACGGAGCGCATATGCGTATATAGCAAGCGTGATCGGGTTCAACGTAATATGTACAGTGAAACTTACACACATAGATGAGAAATATTTCCCCACGGCTAAGGAATATTCAGGCTAAAGAGGGGATGGAGGGAAAGGGGCTAAAGACTTACCAAAAGAACTGGGCAGGTACATGTATCCGTGGGCTTCCAGGAGATGTACGCACGTGTTAGCTAAAAGCGCGGCTAATACGAGTACGGCTATTGTCAGGATGATCACTAACGAAGCGTCTCTGTGTAGCAAATGCTTGGGTCGATTGTGCGAAGTGATTTGCATTGTGCACGCGCCGAGTATGCCCCACGTGAGAAACGTCTCGGTGAACGCCGCCACCCAACTCTGAAATGAAGAAATAACGATATGTAGTGCGATGACGATGATGACGATGATGACGATGATGACGATGATGATAATGATAATAATGATGGTCAGAGATAACAATATAATTATAATAATAACCGTATAATATTTGATTCTGTATTCGTATTCTATAAATATAATTTCATAATAACAAAAGGCGGTTATAAGTAAGTCGTTCCGTTGAAAAATATATATGGTTCATTAATGCCGTTTGACCGAATTAGGTATATTAAAATAACCAAAGTCGTTACAAATTTCAGTTTAATTATTATTACCATAAAAAGTGAAATAAAAATAAAAACTAAAACTAAGTCAAAACACCTGTAACATCATAACCAGGGCTCGGTACTTTATGTATTTGCATATATATTCGGGAAATAGATAGCAGAAATCGGATTCGATACATAATTATTTTTTAATATAAGAATTTCAAATTCAAAATTTGTATTGCATGTTTTTGAATATTTTAGATTTTTTTTTCTTTACACGCATATTGCAAAGATTTATTCGTTTTTATTGCATATTCTATAAGTTTATATATTTTTTAATTCAATTTATAAGAAAAATTAAAAATATGAATGTAAATTTTTCCTTTCTAACGCATTATAAAAATATTATCTAGAAAACAAATGTGTAAATACAATACACATTATTCATTCTAAATTAATTTTATCTAATGATTTTGTCTACAATAATACCGATATGGTAATAATCAATGCTGTATTATGTTAAACAAATCCAAATACAATTCAACAGTTAAGCCCTATTTTAATATAGTATGTAAAAGATATAATTTTTTAATTTAATTTATATAAGTACGTCTTTTTTAATTAGAAATAAACACATATTTTGATATTTTATTATACACAAATGTATAGGTACGCATATTTTTATAATCTTAAGTGCATAAAGTCCCGAGTATTGATTTTATTACGAAACCAAAACTGGTTTAAACGATTGTAGGAAAACAAGAAATTTTTCAATTTTTTGTTTAATGCTCAAGAACAAATATTTATGATAATCGTGAGTACAAATAGTACATTTTTAAATTTTTATAAAAAAAATCACTGATAAAAATATCTTGTATTTCTTGAAGTTCGAGTAAAGAATAAAAAAAAATACTATAGGTATTTGCATATATAATGTGATATTACCTTGGTGTTGAGAAAAAATTCGCTCCAATCTGTTTCTGGAAAAATATCATGATGTTGGAAGCCAATCATTGGTGCTAAACCCAACATTTTCGTGCATAACATGAACATACCGAAAACCGGTACTAATGAGAATATACATATAACCTTACTGTACGACTTCAAACCTATATAAATTAAAAACGGTATTTAAAAAAAAATAATTTCCTTATAACTATACGAAATTCAATATGATTACCTTTACTTAAGCATATGAACACAATTGTCCATATGATCGTCAGGTTGATTACTACGGGCAATTTCAACGAGTTGTCGTTCATCTCGATTTTTTCCAGATACTTTCTCTGTAGAACTATACCGTTAAAGTAACCAGGTACCGTCTCTTCGATATTATAACTGACATTTGAAGATAAAGTCCAGGGCATTCCGTCTACAACAATATAATATTACATAATATTATACAAGACAATCGTTTTTAAAGTTACCGTTATGCGCTATAATAATAATAAATAATAATAATAATATATATACATATATAATTTAACTGCAGTGACACGCAATGTAATAATAATATATTACGATGACTATTTACGAGTACTATATACATATATTGAATAAATTCGTTCCTATAACCGTACCTTCTTTGTACTCGTCGATAGGTTCTGCCCAACGGTAAACGTCTTGTTTCGTGATGAACGAATCGCGGAAATATGTGAACATCCACGAGATGCCAATCACGGTGTATGTGCCAATGAACGCTTGGGCAAGGAGCAGTGCGATGCCAATCCCCTGCAATCAGATACATAATAAAAAATGTCCGTAAATAATAAAATATTATAAAAAGTAATAATATAGCGTGCATTGTAGCGGCGTCAGCTTTCTTAGACTCGCATATATGTATAATAATAACGGCCGTGGAAAAAAAGTTTGTCGTTTTATGAAAAACTGATCGCTTCAGGTGCATAATATTATGCTATATTATTGCTCTAGTTGTCCTGTTGCGTAGATAAAACGGACTTACCTTGAATATCGGTGATATTCTCCACATATCCATGACTCCGGCGCCTAGTAATTGACCGAGCGAACTATGAAACGTAAACAGAGGTATGCCGACTAGCAACGATAACACTAGGAACTGTAGTATAAAGTTGGCTGCAAAAGAAAAAAAAATGTGAAAAATCAATTTATCTATATAAAAAATTTAAATGATTAAGTTTTAATTTTCAAAGCTATTTGTTTTTTTTCTTTTAAAAAAAATAACCATATATTTATAATTCAGTTTAAAGTATTTAAGTATTGAAAAAATTGATTTACTAATTAATTTTTAGAACTATGTACCTATACCATATACCTAAAACCATTAAGAAATTAAAATTTTAAACAAATAAATTAGTAATCAATTACATCTTTTGCGGAATTAAGTCTAAAGGCCCATTATTCATCACCTATTGCTTATCAATTATTAAAAAAAAAAATCTTACATAATATTTCATGTCTGTACATAAATATTCTGAGGAAAAATACTTTTTCACGTTTTAAAATTGAAAATATAAGATTTCATGAAGAAATGAGATTTTTTTGCAAAAACTTAGTGACGTATACTATTTACATTAAACTATGTATGATTGATTTTTTTAATACAAAAACTGTCTTGTAAATCTTATTAAATGGATCAAGCTTTATATGTATATATAAAATATGTTTAAAGCGTTATTCTAAGTAAATCTTACAATATTCCTCACAATAATTGTCTCATTAGTTTTCAAGGACCACATAGTGACGACTAACACACTCGGGAGGGCTTCAACACTATACAGAGTGAATCACCAAGCATGCGCTCATTTTCATATTTTCATTAAATAATAAATGTATTCAAATTTCGATTTTTTTAAGACTTAAATTTCTTTGAACTGATTATGGAGTATCTTGTGATGATACAAACTATTTTGTTTATCAAATGAGAATCCCTTTTTTTTAACTTTTAACTGTAAATTAACTGTTAAGAAATATTTTTTTGAAAATAACGAAGAAACTATTTTATTCAAAATTTTAACGAGTAGTTTCTCAGTTACTAAAATGTTTATACTAAGGATAAAAGTCCTTAAAAATGAAATCAGTAAAAAAAAAATATATTAAACATAGTATTTATTATACTTAGATAATTTTTACTAATGGCTTATGTTGATAGTAAACTACTCTTTAAGCTCTTTGTGTAGTTAAAAAATCTCAAGAATTTAAAGATAAAATGGTTATTAAAAATTTCAAAAATTAAATTTTGAATAACTGCTTTATAAAAGAAAAAAAAGAAGTGCGCATGTTTGGCGAAACACTCTGTATACTTTATAATATTACATTGCCACCACAAACAAGATTTTTATACAATATATTCGCGATATCATATATAGTATACGAGTAATGCCACGGCGAAATTCGATAATGATCATAATAAATAATATACGTAAACATATCACTAACCTCCAAATTGTACTGCAAGTATGGCGAACCGACTGATGTTGAAGGCTCCCAAAGTACAGCCAAGCGTGGCCAACACGGAACTGTATTTGTTGCTCCATTGGCCTAATGGACTTTGAGACTCCTGCGACATCTCGTATGCTCTGAAAGAAAAGGAAAAAATTTATGAAAGTTTGAATATTATTATTATTATTTATAAATTATAATTCGTGTACGAATGTATTAGCTCGCGAATGGATATACGTTGCTCGTAGCGAGTAAATCAAACGAATATCAAGGACGGCCGTAGTACGACAGAAAAATTATTATAGTAATCGCAGAAATATTTATTAATTATACTTAAATAGTTCACCAACACGCGACTAAATAATACCAATTTTCGATATTATTTATTTAAATGATATATTATTTTCTAAGAACTATAGGAAATATCATAAATAGGAAAAATCCAACCTATAAAGACATGAAAAAATAAGTATATATATATATATATTATATAATATCCGGCTATAATAATTTACCCAACACAATAATGATATAATCATATGGTAAGTTAATTGTAATAATATTTGTAGAACTTACATTTTTAAAAATACTTGAACTTCGAATGGAATTCTAACACATTATTTTTTTCAACGTTTAAGTCGATTTTCGAAATCCAGTGACAAAAAAAATTAATATTTATATACAATTTAATTTTAATCGAACCAACTGTGGGACGAAATTACATGTACCTACACAATACACAATACATACACAATAATTTACTATACGCCTATACGTATGGAACACACCCCAAGACTCTAGAGACTTGTTTTGTTCTAGCAAAATCATCATATAAAATATCAGAAACTTAATGATTTACATATATGAATGCAAAAATAAAAAACTGTGTGACACAAACAATATGTATAATATTCGTATCATTCATTGTTCCAATGATTTATTTTCTAACTTTTATGATTCGAGTTTTGTAGATATATTATAAATGAAATATATTACAGGCATATATTACGTATAAGTTGCCGACCCTGAAATTTCTAAAACTTTATAATACACGATACATTAGATTAATTATTTTTACACAACTGTGTGTTAATTTGCAACTTTATCGAATAAATGTGTGTATAAGACCGGTTACTATATTAAATAATATTTTCAATATATATAAAGAAATATTATAAATTTAATAATTTATATAAACTATGTATACTATGCACACGTGAACCGGCTGAATTTTATTCGACGAGTTCGTATACATTATTATATCGTATAATAGTACATAAATAAATATATATTACAACAGGTATATACCTGTTTGATTAAACTTGTGTTTGCAAAGTTTGTGTTATATACGCATACATTATACATATACATAATATCCATATAATAAAGTTATAAAAAAAATAATCCACGAAAAAATATATAACCCGAACAGTCGCTTTTGTTTTCGGACGAAAAATCATTGCATTCCTACGCACGCGATTTCGTGCGAATAACCTCGTGAGCAGCCTACACGCGTATTATAATATACAGGTTTAGACACACAGAAAACGGTCAGCGGGAGAGACGAATGTTTCGCGCCGTGGAATCAAACCATCGCGAAACGGTTTTATTTTTCGGTTTCTGCGGCGCCACGACCGTTAAAATCATTATAACTATTATGAATGATAAATAATAACCGTATATTGCAGTTACGTTTTATGTAAGCCAAAAACAATTATAACATTTAACTCATATTGGCCATGTCAGTCCCAAACGTTATAATATTATAAATAAAAAGCTCGAATCGCCACAGTCGGTATAAAATTACATAGTATTATTATATCAACAAATCATATGAATGCTATAGTTTACGAAATAATGTGCAATCGAGTATTTGTTTAGTTCCTTAACCGATTACTGTCCACCACTATATTTCATATAACAAAATGTATATTAAACACAGACTATATTATATTAATGTCAATAATGCGCATACAAGGATCTATAATATTATTTCTACATACCAGCAGCTGTGACAGACATCGGTCTGTGTGTAATGATTAAAATTAAAATAACCCAAATGGCTAATATTTAGTATTATAATTATGTTCTATTTTCGTTGTGCACTTTATCATTTTAAAATATTGCCGAATGCTGTCTATAGAGTTTATACAAACAAACATCATAACAATATTATAGTATCATGCATGTATAGTACACTGCAGCAGCAACACTTATCACATTCATCGCGAACTAGCCAATACTCATTATTATGACGATATGCACGTACTTAGTATCTGATATATCTAATGATTAATACAAGAATGATAAGGCTATAATTCGATTTATACCGTACAAGCGCAAGTATGTATATTGATGTTAACAGAATATATATAATTCCGCAGATGTGTCTTTTATGATTATCACCTGTAACGCTGCACTCCGATGACATTTTATGTTTAATAAAAGAAATAGATATGTAACCATCGACGAAAGAAAAACACTACTAATAGTACTAATTACATATTATTACATATTTATATGTTTTACCATCAAATACTTGGTTTTGTAATTATATATAATTTAATTTACTTATATTTCAACATACAGGTATATGATCTATTTACAATACATTTAACATTTATGAAATTTCGAAAATTTAATTCATATAAATATTAAAGGATTCAATGTAATCATACATTTGTTTCGTTAGATAATAAAATCATCCTATTATTAATGGGACAAGCTAAAGCTAAAGCATAATTCATGTTATGAGGAAATATATATATAAAAAAAAAAACAGTATTTTACCTAGTCCCAGAACAATCTTTTAGTTTACAAGTTCAAGTAAACATTTTACATAATTTACTGTTGACTTACCGATAAATGTTAAAAATTTCAAAAACCGTTCATAATGAAAATAATCACTAGTACTTATTTGTTGATTAAGACGAAACATTGTATATTTTTTTAAAAGATGCAACTAGACCTTAGTGTAATTTAATATAACATATGTGTATTATTACACATATAGTGAATTATACTTTAGACTTCCTATGGATACTGTCGAAACGTCGGCAATTAGGCTGTCATTTATGGACAATGTGAATGAGGTTAAATCGTGCGAATTAAAGAAGAAAATGAAATATTCTCACGTCTAATTGTATGGTGGAGAAATAAAAATTAAGCTATCGATTCTCGGAGTAAAATAGAAAAAAGCAACAATAAGCTCTAAATACTATATAATTATTATTTTCAAGGGACGTGGAAAATTCAACCAGTAAAATATGTAAAAACGGAAGAGGCCTTCCTAAACAAAACACAAATCACCATGACAATATTTGTATGGATATTGTTTCATTCATCTGCGTAAAGAACCGTAGAGGCCAAATTTTAACGACTCGGTAATTGTTATATATACTGTTGATAATGATATTTTTTTTAATTTGTAAAAACACACACACAATATATATTATGATATATTTTTATTATATATGATTGCGATGTATATATCATAAAAATGTGTCATTTTCAATTGATTTAACAACATTTTATCTATACACAATTGAACTTAATAATTACGTTTAGATATAATATTATTATCACTCACTCGTCGGCGCATTCTCGTACGTCGATAATGCTTCCATACCGATTGGTGACAACTTCGAAACGCGGCATTTAAGTACGGTCTCGGTTAACACGTCATTCAAACACTTAAATCTCCGCGTACACCAAAAATTTGTCGGTCAACACTAAACTGATCGTCGTCGTCGTCGTCGTCCGAACATTGTCGTAACACTAATGAATACACGGCGGTGGCGTGGCGCGTCCAGTTTTTTCAGGATCAAGGGAACGACGAGTTTTGCGAGCAACCGCCGCACAGCGGATAAATTGCTATATTGTAGTGAATAAAATTGTTGTTTTTTCGCCAAGGACGCCCACTGCAGCACAGTTGTCAAAACGCGGAAACTCAAGAATTTTATATTCTTACACCACAGCCAGTTACTTGCCGTGATCGTCGCGTGTATGTACTGCACGGAAAGCAGATGCGACTGCACACACGTGTTCAATAAATAAAATTTTTTAATCTGTATCACGTTACTCGCGGAGAACACAAACAATATTAAAAAATCATCGTCACATATTATTATTATTACACATGTGCATGTTGACACAACGCGGGTGTACTCGCGCCGGAGTACGGGTCGACACTGAATCTAATACAACAACAATAATAATAATAATAATAATAATAATAATCTCGCGACGCGTCTGGGAGGCGAATCGCGCGCGGTTTTCAGTCTCCACCGTCGTCCGGTCTCTCTTTTCTCCGTTCGGGTCTCGCCGCGATTGACCTATTAAGGGACCGGTCACGAAGTTCTTGGTCTCGTTATCGCTGTTTGTTTAATTTAAAAAAAAAGTCTTTTATTTTTTATTTTTTCTCCTTCCGCCGTGCTTTTTTAAACGCACGTGATGAGTCTAATTCTCCGGATTCGCATACATACAATCCGGCATAATAAGCCTGCAGTTATATATTATATACGCGTATAATAATCAAATGTTTATGGGCCTCGTGGAGAGGGGATAGTAGGACGATAACAATGAAAGGAAAAAAACTGATCTTTTCTTTGTGCACACATTACACATAAATATATTATTATAGGTACGGTTTTTTTTTTTTTTTATATTGTCGTTTTCCCGAGTTATAAACTGCGGCACGCACGCACGCACCGCACGGACGACGTTATAATAATATGATATTATTATTGCCGTACGCGACCATTAACTTACTGCTGCGACCCAGATAGTGAAGTACGAGGTCCGAGATAATTTGACTCGAAAAATACGGCGAAACAAAAATAACGACGCGGAGGACGGACGAAATTCGTTGTTCGATAATAACTGCAGCTGCAGAAGAAAACATAGAGCGATTTCGTCGCCCACAATCGTTTATCGTCAATGCGATTCGACACGACCCAGCTGCATTCGGTGTAGAGTTTCACCGAGTGGTTTCTTCGGCAGCAGTGCGCGAACGGGAAATCTACCGACGGCGGCGATGGCAACTCGATACCCACTACGCGGAGCTTCCTACCATAGTAATGGTCGCGTTACTTATTACACGATGCACCTAATTATATACATGTATGAATTTTGTTCC